CCATATTGATACATGTTTTTTAATTCTATCTAAGCTTTCGGCTTACATAAGCCATCATCAAAGATGACAATTACATTACAATAAATTAAACAATACACGGACATAGCAACAATGATAGTCTGTTTTGTTTGCATGGAAGATTTCCAAGCAACAACAAACTCGTGCATACGAAACGTTAGAAGCGAAAATCGCACCGCGGCCCATGACATCACACATGACCACGCGAGAGTGAAAACGAGAAGTGTTAAGTATGGGAAGCCGTGTATTGTTTAATTTAAAATTTGTCTATATTAACTTGTCTATATTATTTAATGAAACATGCATTAATGAAAAAATGCCTAAAAATACACACACAAATATATATATATATATATATATATATATATATATATATATATATATATATATATATATATCCGATGCTCTAAGTAGGAAGCTAACAAGTACCTCTTAAAATTGTGAAGAAATTTATTAGTTGTTCAAAGGTCCATTTATTAAACAAGGAGCGCCCTCTGGGGGAAATAAGGTGGTACTGCTAGTTTAGAAGTGCTTCATTTCCGTTTGTGCTGAAGCACGAAAACTCATTAACTGTAAAAGTCAAACAAATTTAAAAGCGAGTCGATTGCTGAAAAACTCGGATATGCGCATACAGCCGTTAACTATTTTTCTATCCCACGATAGAAAAGACTGACAATGGACATATCAGCCTTCTATTGCTATTTCGTGGGTCGTCAACTGTAGTAGAATGGATTGCCTTTGTACTTATTCACATTAAAAAAAAAAACAACGGGTAAAGATACAGATAATAGATGCAAAATACAAACTAGCAGAAAAAAAAAAAAAAAAATATTGGTGATTTACAGGTCGCTGCATAAAAAATATCCGATGAAACGTGTGTCGGCCATATTTATAAAAAATTAATTAATCTGAAGATATTTATATGCTGGGGTCTTGAGAAATAAATGATCGGAAATAGAATCCATCAATGGTGGCAAGCCGCTACTATATAGGAAGATTCCAGAAATTCAATTCTTAATATTATTCAAAATGTTAAAAATAACAGATTTGAAAATATAAATTATATAAACAAAGACAATGACCAAGTCTGTAGTTAAATGTTTGGTAGCTTAATTTTTGTTACAACTCTAAATTAAATGGAAGCCATTTTGTTTTTTGAGTATTTTTTATCTCTATTTGTGGCTCATTTTTTAGTTTCCGTCTATGAAAAATATATCGCAAAAAAAAAAAAAAACAAACAAAAAAAAAACAACAAACAACCTATTTAAGAGCATCGGTTACTTTACATTTTAATTTATTTTACAGTATTTTTTTTTTTTCGTAATTTATTCTTTCCTATTTATAGAAGAAAATTAATTCTTCCAAATTTCTGTTTTTTTGCTCCCTTATCTCGTATTTTTTTTTCTTTTCATTTCTATTTCATCATTTTGCCCTAAATCGTTTCTACAGCACGAAGAAAAGTTTTTGACATACATCAAGCTATCATCTGCATTTTCATATCGCTTTTTACGCCATTTTGGTTCGATTTTTTTTCTTTTTTTTTTCTTTTTTGTCAACAAGCTTGAAAATAAATAAATACAAGCAGTACAAAAAAAAATATTACCGTAAATTATTTAATTTAATTTAATTCAATTCCCTCTTTTATGTAGACAAACGACGCCAATCGGTTGCCATTAACCAATTATATTTTGATGTCTGTCAGTGTTGAAAGAATAGTTTCCTTTCTTATCTTGTCCCTCAGGGCTTTGCTCATAAATCCTCATCCCTAACCTACAAATTTCAATCCTTTCCTTGTCTTCTATCCTTTTTTCCCTGATAAAGGATTTGTAAAGTTCCCATGTTATTTTGAAATAAACAAGCTATTTTCATAAACACGTTTTATTTTGTCATTTGACTTGTTCTAATATTTCGTGTTTTTTTTCTTCTTTCTTTTACTTTTATTTATTATTTCTCTTGTGTGTGCCATAAGAAAGGTACAAAGTAAATTGATCAAATAATAAATAAATTTGAATGTCAACAGATTGATCTATGTGTTAAATCTTGTATTTATTTTGTATTTATCATTCTATCCGGGTCAACACACAACCCGGAGTGTACAACAGCCGTATCGTTGTGATACCAAAAATGATTTTTTTTTAATGTAGCGTAGTAATTAGCAATGGCTTACTAGCTAGGATGTCAGATTGCCCGATGGCAAGTGGGGCTCTCCTGATGAAGTGGTCCTCTTATATAAAAAAAGCAATAAATAAACACAGACCACTTTTTTTTTAGAAATAAAAAAAGAACAAGGACTCTATAAAGTCACCTGCACACAATCATTTCCTCAAGTCCATCCAGCAACAAGGCCTCTGATATGGAAAGTTTTGAGGGGTGTGGAACCGCCTCTTAATTGCTATTCCTTCCAGGTCCATCCTCACCCGGAGTGGAAGCACCTGCTACGGCCCCAGATATGGGCAAATAGTAACTCCCAAAGAAAACACTATGAAAGTATAAAAATACCAGCAATATCTTATATAAAAAATTACCAACAATACCTACTTATAGCAGAATTACGAACAATAAATTTTATAGCAAAATGACCAACAATTTTATCTGTAGTATAATATATTTCATTGAAGCCATAAAATCGTTTCCAAAATATTTAGATTTCGGCATTAAATAACCCATAGAGGTGTTGATATGCCGCTAAACAAAATCAACCAACCAACAATACATATTTATAGTAAAATGACCAACAATACATTTTATCTGTAGTTGAAGGCATGCAATTGCATTCAAAATATATTTAGTTGAAGACATAAAATTGTGTTCAAAATATTTAGATTTCGGCATTAAATAACCCATAGAGGTGTTGATATGCCGCTAAACAAAACCAACCAAGTAAACAACCAACCAACTCAAGTCCAATGTGAGAGGACATTTTCAAAATTAAAGATCATGAAGACAAGCTTAAGAAATTCGATGTCTGGGAAGAACTTAGAATCATACATGTTGCTATCCATTGTAAAGGACTTATTAGATGAATTGGATGTAGAAGTAATTATTGGCAGATTCATTTGGGGAACACAAACAATTGCTCTTAATAAACTGGACTGCATGCAATGTGCTAGTATGCCTTTGAACTTTCTGTTAATGTGTAAATTGTTTAATAAACTATTTAAAATATCAACGAATTACTTAAAATAAAAAACAAAAATTATTACGTTCTGTATTTACATTTGGTATTTACTGCTATTAATATGTACAATATATGTACACTGCATTTACTAAGAAATACACATTTTGTCCATAAAGATTTTAATTGTACCGTTTTTTTCCCATTTGTGATTTTCTAAAATGTTATTGATTCATTATGAAAATGAAATGATACCATTGTAAATATGAATGTGCCTCCTTTATTTTCTGGCAGCCAATCTTTTTAAAATTCAGTCCAATTAGTATTCACTTTATTCCGTCTTCGAGAAATAAAGTGTAAATGTTTTCAGAAATGAACTAACGCGAATGTTGCAGACAAGAAAATTCAGACATTTTAAAACAACAAGAAAAGCGCAAAAAATTCAAAACAAAATTTGAGCGGGTGGTTTAATGAATAGAGGCTCGTAATGAGAAATCAGGCGGGCAGGGTTCGAATTCCAATCGAGTTTGTTAAATTCAGTTACGCGCAAATACACATTTGAAAAGTATGAATCCATGTCTTCTCACAGCTATAGATTAAATAGCAGAACAGACTGGATGCTATAGCCTTGGTTGCCAATCAAGTCTATAAGACCCAGTCTGTTCTATTTCTGAAGATATCTTTTCCAAGACATATCACTGCTGCTACGGCTACAGTACTTGTGGTGAACGGAGTCAAAAGAAATGTATTGGCAGAAGAGTAGGAGCTTTTCTCTACTGATTTTATTAGATAGTATTTTTTTTTATGTGATATAGTTGACTCAGCTAAGCTCTGAAAATTCGGAAGTTAAGCGTATTCTCAGTGGTCAATAAGATACGTGTTTTCTTCGGGTGGTATGCACACGTCTACGTCTCCCCACCCCCACGATTGAAAGTCATTGAAGTTCAGCTTTGTGGAGGTTAAATATTTGAAGTGACGCGCTAGATTTTAATTATTCAGAAGTTATGTTATTGGATGATACAAACTGTTAGATATTTTCTGTTAACTGTATTATTTGAAATGATCAGATTGCAACTGTGTTACCTTCTTTCTGCCTGAATTTAGATTCGTAGATTAAATAAGGAGTTCAGTTGGTAATTTTCTGAAGTTTACTCGGATCGAAAGACCCCTAAAGAAGGCCGGAGAGCACAACGGTCGTAACTTTGTGATAAGAACAACAAAGATGAAGATATTAGTCCGATGTTGAATGATGTCAATAACTCACTGCCCAAAAGTTTACATTTAAAACAGAAATCTTAGCTACAGTTTTCCTGAAATGATATTTATATTATTTTATAATATTTCTTATTGGACAAACATTGAATCTTTTAAATCATCACTTTTTATAAAGAAAACAGAATATATTTTACACCAGAACTTTTAAAACTAGTGTCAGTTTTGTCTGACATAAGGTCAAGGGTTACTTACTATACTCAGTGCTTATAAAATATCACCCAGAGAAGTAGTGAAGAGGTTTGACACTGTTTTTAGAAAATTATTATTTACATTATTTGTATTCGGACTATTGTCGTTGTCTTTGTTATTGTTATCACAACGTTTTGGCCATTTTACTCTTCGATGAAGGCCGAAGCACACAACAGTCGAAATGTTGTGATAACAACAACAAAGATGAAGACAAACGTAAATAGTGTACATAATGATAACTCTTCATCGCAGAAACAGTATAGTCCCACCGGTCCATAGTGGCTTAAAGCGTAGGTTTGTGAATGTGATGGCATAGTAACCCTGAGTTCAATCCCTGGGCTGGGTAGTGAAAACACAGAGAGCAGTAATTGAGGGGTGCTAAATAGGAATAAAACGAGATACCTCAAGACATGGAGAGCAGAGAGAGAGAGAGAGAGAGAGAGCAGAGACAGATAGAGAGTAGAGAAAGAGAGAGAGAGAGGGAGTGAGGGAGAATGATATAGATAGAGAAATAGAGAGAAAAAGAGGAGAGAGAAAGAAAGTGAGACAGACAGAGAGAGAAAGAATGATATATAGAGAGAAATAAAGAGAGAAAGAGATAGCTAAAGAGAGAGAAAGAGAGAGAAAGAGAGAGAAATATAGAGAAAGAGAGACAGTGATAGAGAGAAAGAAAGAGGGATAGAGAGCAGAGACAGAGAGAAAGCAGAGAGAGAATGAGGAAGAGAATTATAGAGAGAAATAAAGGGAGAGAAAGAAGTAGAAGGAGAGAGAAGGATAGAGAAAGAAAGAAAGAGAGAGAGAAAGAGAGAGAGAGAGAAGACAGAGAAAGATAGAAGGGGAGAAATAAAGATGTATATAGAGAGATAAAGTGAGAAAGAAAAACATAGAGAGAGAGAGAGAGAGAGAGAGAGAGAGAAAGAAAGAGAGAGAATGAAGTCAAAAGAAAAGAAATAGACGAATTGTTACAAATTTCAGGCTCTTTCTGAGGGATTGGAGGCCTTAGATTCCTTTCAATTCTTCGAGATTTCTTTTGAAAGAAAGAACTACAACAATCACACGTCATCTTGTAATTACAGACTCATAAATCATACCCACACCCAGAGATTCTAAAACATGAAAGGATTGTTTTTTCAATTTTCTTACACTGACCATTTCAGTCGAAAATTCTTTACTTTATCATCATTGTTAATCTTCAAGACAAAATTTCAGATAAAAACGAAAAGCTATCAGGTAACAAAAAAACTATCTAGAATTTCAGAATTGACGGTATTTAGTAGAACAAGCATTAAAAGGTACGAAAACATTGTTTATTTAAAGTCCTTTTCGTGTTAAACAGTATTGCTATGTATTTACATTTTTATCTCCTGGTGCAATCTTGTCCAGCCAAAGACTGTTTTGTACTACGATTGATTACAAAGTTTTGCGAAAATATTTTCATACATTTGACAATGCCTACAAGATTTCAAAATGGTTGAAATTTTTGTGGGGCACCAGGAACCTCTTCTCGACACCGCCAGACGAAGAAAAATGGCGTGGTTTGGACACGTTACAAAGCACGACAGGACATGCAAGACCATCATGCAAAGCACTGTTAAAGGTGGACGTAGGAGGGGACGCCAACGCAAAAAAAAAAAAAAAAAACAAAAACAAAAAAACTGGTTGGACAATGTCAAACAATGGACAGGTATGACTATACCAGAATTGCTGATGGCTGCCGTTGATAGGACGTCGGGGGAAAAGAATTAGTGTAGCTTTTTCATTTGGATCCACCCTACGATTACAAAAGTCAAAAAGATGATGATGATGATATTTCAATCGGGTTTTCGTTCCAGTTTTTTTAAGATGGCGTTGAGAGATAGCATTTTTAAAGGTGAAAGATTCGATTTCAGCCTCCGGTTCATTGTGTGTTGTATCGAACAAACCAAGGAGATCTTTTGTGCACTAAATGTCATTATAAAAATAACAGAAGTCAGTTTTATCGTTAACGCATCAAAAGTGAAGAATCCATCAAAAAATTAGACACAAAAGAAAGAAAAAATGTCAGGACTGTTTATGCCGAGAGTAACAACCCAGAATTATACGCAGGATTATTAACACGACCCGGTCTAGGTTAGTCTAGGCCAATGTATACCTCCGGCTATAAAATGGGTTAGGCTAGAATATATCCATTTTGCTAAGTATATACGCGCACCCTTTTTTACAGGTCTTCTTTTATGTGCCGTGTCCCTTCAAGGCGTAGGCGATCATGGCCCTTCACATCTTCCTGTTACTTGTAGCTCTTAATAAGTTTTGCTTTTTGTTATTTCTCCCGAACCCTGGTCTACCATCCATTTGCTCAAGCTCATCAAGTATGTCACGCGTTGCTTTCATATGTCTCTCTTTCCCCCAATCTGTCTTGTGAGTATCGGATTTTCCATGCCCTCCGTCCCCAGAAATTTCAACTGCCTCTTCCTAATGTTAAGTATAAGTTTCCTTACTCTTTCCATTCTCTCCAAAATCTCGTCCTTGCTCACATGTTCGGTCCATGGTATCCTCAGCATCCTTCTGTAGAATTATTTTTTTTGTTGTATCAGGTCTCTTTGAGGAGAATGTCCAGCATTCACTGACATAAAGGAAGACAGATATCATGTAACAGTTCAGTACTCTTTTATTAGTTTCCAATGGAATTTTTCTGTCTCTTAATACTCTGCTTAGTTTTTAGAAAGCATCTTTGGCCATCCCAATACTTCTTCGGTTCTCAGTGTCATAGTTTCCGTCCTCTGTTAGAACACTTCCCAGATATTTAAATTTTCATCATGAAGTATCAGACGTTCATTTCTTGTAGGCATTTTACTATATAATTTTTATATTTTATTAATAAAGTTGAAATAAAGTTAGTCTTTGGTTAAAAATGCAATAAATAAATGTTTAATCGTTTAGTTTGTTTTGTTTTTTTTTACACGTTCTTTTGAGAAAAGTGTATTTTTAAGAATACCAGACGGTTTGTAAAAAATATTATAGTTGTATAAATCTTTTAGATTTAGCAGTTAAAACCCTGCCAAAATTGTTTTATGAATTTTTGTGGATTCATTCTGAAGTTGTGGAAAAGATAATTTTTCGCATTTACTGACCAATCAGAGACGTTGTCTCATGCTCTTGAAAATTTAGGGTATGGAGTTTCTGGGAGCCTCTATTTTTTTCTCAGTAAAAAGACTCAGGTCAGCAGATAACTCCAGAAAGAATTTAGTCATCAAGACATTTAGACGTCAAGACAGAGAAAATTTGGATTTGAAGACGACCAGCTGTAGAGAGCGGAAGTCTTTTTGATGTTCACATGTGAAAATCAACGCCGCGACAAAAAGAACAAAACAAAGAGAGAGATATAAAGAAATGTTTTAAATATAGTTAATCTCCCAGTGAAACATATGAGTATCCAAAATAAAAGAAAAAAATAGAAAGACATTTCTAAATATCGTTGAATATTACAGAGATTCTCGTGGGAGAAGACAGAGTATTTTTTTTTTTCGTTTTACTGTTAGGTAGGTACGCTTTGTTTTTCTGGCTTTTCTGGTTTTTGCTTTAAGTTTGTTTTTATCATTTCCGATTTTTTTTTGTCTTATATATGAATTGTTACTCTATCTTAAGTATTGTATAACGCGCACAAAAGGAAATTTTTCTGTAAGTTCTTATATGTGAATTCTGTTTTCTCTGTTTTTCTGTATACTGTAATAAATGTTTGTCCTTAAAAATTTAATATGGTTTTTGAGTTTTGTTGATTGTGCCTTATTCAGCTTACTTGATTTGGCAATTAGTTGTAGATTCGTCTTCAGCTGTGCTGGTCGAACTCTCTGCCTACGGGCAGACAGGAACCCAGACGAGGCTATGCCGAAGGGCAGAGTCTTGTCTGGGGTGGTAGACAGCAACTCGATCCCGTTTTTTTACGGGATTTACGGGGAATTTTTGCCCGAGCTTACGGGTTTGGATACCCCACGTTAAATTCGACCTTGTGCCAAATCTGACCGCGCGGGGGCGGTTGGCAAATATCCTTATTTAACTTACTTTAGGGATAATAGAGGCACAAACTCCCTTCCCTATCCATACTAACTAAACTTTTGGGGTTTGCACAAAAAAATTAGGGAGTTTAATTTTTTATATTTACAGCCAACGATTTTATTCTGATTCTTTGTACTGAAGCATTATTCTTTTAATCATTTCACCCCAAGCAAGGCAGTAATACCACTATGACGCAGGGGGTTATAGGGAATGAAAATGAAAGAGAATACTTGGAATTAGAGAGGATTGAGGAAAGGACAAAGATGAACGGGTTTCAAGAAGATAGCGATTGATGTTTCGTTTAAATTTTTAAAAACTGTAGTTATCAGAGAAGCAATTAAACGGAATGGGATTCATCAGGTGAAAAGTGCGAGAAAAGAAATTGTTGGAGTAGAAATGGCGGTTGCATTTAGTTATTGCAACAGTAAATGAGTGGGACCTAGATGCCAATCTAGTAGCACGCTTAAATTCATGGAATCGGGACTCCAGGAAAAAATCTCATCAGAACAATTGCCATGAAAATATTTATAGAAAAGACAAAAGGAAGCCACGTAACGTCTGTGAGAAAATGATTGAAGTCGAGATGCCTGATGAGGATCGGTTACATTACAAATCCTTCTTCGGATTTTGTCAAGAAGCTTGAAATGAACAGCAGGAGTACAAGACCAGATATGACAACGGCATTCAATGCACGGGCGAATGGGAGATTTGGAAATGTGGGAGAGATGGATTCTGGCGAGAAAGACTTTCTGGCACGACACAGTGATCCAACTTTCCTTGCAGTAAATGCAGCTATTGGTTCGATACAGTCGCTCGAAATTGTCCCACAAAAATAGGTCAACGAGGTCATGAAGAAAACCGTACTAACATAAGTAAATTTTCAGATATTGGAAGTGGTCACTTTTCTTGGAATTTTACATTTTCGATAGAAATATATGGCGAGGTGAAAAGTTGAAATGTTAGTGAATCTTACCTTTGTCCGAAACGTAATTCTTGATATCATGGCTCAGGTTGATTTAGACGGCATAGCAAATGATGTGAAGAAGGAAATCAGGATATTCTATCTTTGTTGATGAAATTTCAAAATCAACTTCAGACGTGAAACGTCAATTGAGCTGACCAAATTGTAATATGCCTTAGATTCACCACAGAAAGAAAAACTAAAGTCCTTCATCGGATTTCATGTAAAGCCGTTTACGAACGTTGTTCTTTATGAGCCAATAAAAAGGTTCATTGATGAAGTTGAAGCTGAAACTCTGTTATATTATCTTCACTCAGTTGTTTATTATTAACTTAACAGGAGTAGATAGGTTTGGTTATCGCCCGGTTCACTCTTCTTCTCTGTCTATTGAGCAGGAGTAAAGGCATATCCCTTGTTCCCTGTTTAGGATTCTGTTTCTGATTCCTTTTAAGGTCTTGTCATTCACTTTCAATCCCATTAACACCTTGCGTCTTAGTGGCATTATCGCCCTGCTTGTGGTGAAATGATTTAAAAAAATGTCTATATTTCTGAGATGAGGTAGTGTAACTATTTACACTATTTACATTGTTCGGATTATTGTCCTTATTTTTATTGTTATATCTTCTGTTGTACGTTCAGGCATTCTTCAGGTGATATAGACTGGAATTTCGAACCGAACCCTTTATTTAGTTCACTGGGGTAGATTGTTCTAGTTCCACGTGCCATGCCTTTTCTGGATATCTCAGTTTCAGAGCATTACTAGATTGGCAGTTAGATCTCATCTGTTGAAATTGCTAGTTTTAACCATATACGTTCTATGCTAATAGTTTCTTCTCCTAATGGAACTCTCTTCTGGCTTCCTGCTTTTTTGTAAATTACAATCTTCAAATATTTAAATGCAACGTCAATCATTACTAGCTTCCGGGAGAGCGACTCATTGCGCCTTCTCGGACTAACATTTTCATAACATTATCTGATAAAAGTATACCAGTTACAAGAATCGCAGTTAACTGAGTACAATATGACGACTGGTTTAGGTTCTTGGGCTAACGTTTTCCACTGAAAATTTA